ATAAATATAATTAAAACAATTTATCATAGACAAATAGCTAAATTAATCGTAAATGGAGATTTTTATGGAAAATTTTAATATTAAAAAAGGCACAAGACAAGGATGTCCATTATCCCCATTATTATTCATATTAACACTGGAAGTATTGAATAGAAATATTAGGCAAGACCTAGAAATTAAAGGAATGGAGATAAAAGATGAAAAATATAAACGACAAGCATTTGCGGATGACTTGGTTTTTATATTAGAAGAGCCACTTGAGACAAACCTCAAACTTTTGAAAAAGATAGAAGAATTTGGAGAAGTGGCAGGACTGAAAATAAATAGAGCAAAGACCAAAGTGATAATCAAAAACCTTACAGATAAACAAAAAAATCAATTGTCAGAAAAAACAGATCTTCAGATAGTTAAGAAAGTTAAATACTTGGGGATATACTTAGCAACAAGATGTGCAACAATAAAAGAAGATAACTATGTAAAATTATTAAAACAAATAAAACTAGACTTGGAAAAATGGAAAAATCTACAATTTTCAATGCTAGGGAGAATAGCAACGGTGAAGCTGAATATTTTACCAAAATTACTCTTTTTATTTCAAACAATACCTATAAAACTGGGAAAAAATTCTTTGATGAATTAAATACATTTATCTTGAAATTTATTTGACAAGGATAAAAGCCAGAATTAAGATTGAAAATGCTACAAGAAGTGAAAGAAAATGGAGGATTCGGGCTGCCCGATTGGGCTTTATATTATCAAGCATCTGTATTAACATGGTTAAAAGAATGGATAACTCTTAGACATAAAAGATTACTATACCTACAGGGGCATGACCTACAAGTCAGATGGCATGTCTCCCTATGGTATGGAAAGAATAAAATACATAGATACTTTCAAAACCACTATATAAGAAACACACTTCTAGAATGTGAAAAGGTAAAAGCAAAAATTTACATGAAAATATCTGGATGGCTTTCAACAATGGAAGCGTTTGTTCACCCAAACTTAATTAACTATGAGAAAATTGTGACTTATAAAGACATTTTGAATATTGAAGAGAAACTAAAATCTAGACAAGAATTGGAAGAACAGGGCATTGATCTATCATGGTGGCCACACCTGCAAATTCAAACGAGATATGAAAAAGATGCTAAAACATCTGGATTTTATAAAGAACAAACTGAATTTGACCAGATACTATTGACATCAGATGAAAAATTAATTAGGAAACTGTATAAAATATATGTTAAGTTTAAAGATGGAAGAGGAACTACTAACTGCAGCGAGAATTGTATTTGCTCAACTTTGGAAAGATGAAGAGATAATTAAGAAAATCTTGGACTGTGCAGAAATGGACAGACTTACACTGAAAATGAAAGAGAAAGAAGATTCAGAATACTTTAGAACATTGGATACATTTTATCAATCGCTAGAAAAACAAGCTAAAGAGAAAGGAGTTTAACATGTATTAGTAAGCTAAATATTGGAACCCAGACAACATGTTGCTGATAAAATATTAAGGGTTTGTGATTATAAAATAATAATAAAATATTGTTAAAAAAAGAGAAAAGTTTATGGAGGGATAATAAATTTGTAAAGGAAAAAAATCCCATCCTCTTCGAAAGAGAATGAAATAGGACGTGACATGCTTTGCTTTATGGACATTTATCCCATATTTCAGAGGTCACCAACCTTTGTCGGTTGGCAGACTGGAGGAAAAGGGAGGGGAAAGCATTTTACATGTGTGCATATGTGCATGGGGCTGTGAACACACATGTGCCGCAAACGGGATGGGGCTAGTGCCCACATGATACTCACTAGCCCTGCCCTGTTGTTGCATGGCACAGTGCCTTGTTTCTGCACCCCGCGGTGCAGTGGCCGTTTTTGCGCCTTGCAGCGTGGCAGTGGCCTGTTTTTGTGCCCCATGATATGGTGGCGCCCTGTTTTTGCACCCCACGGTGTGGCAGTGGCCAATTTCCGCACCCTATGGTGCGTCTTCATCCATTTTTGTGCCTTGCAGCACATTGTAATCCCGTTTTTGCACTCCGCAATGTGGCGGTGCCCATTTTCGCACGGCATGGCAACATCCCATTTTCACACCCCAAGGCACAGCGGCATCCTGTTTTTATGCCCTGTGGTATGGCATCCTGTTTTTGTGCCCCGTGGCGCTAGTGCAAGTGAGGAGGTGTGCACGCACACGTGCGCACACTAGCCAGCCTGTCCTGTGGTCCGGTGGCCAGCAAGCCTTGGCCCACTACCAGGCCTCAGACCCCTGCCATATTCCACAGGCCTGCCTGTGGTTCACATACAGTTTTTCCATGTGTCTCAAGAAACAAGTATGTATATGACAGGTTGTATATGACAGCCCATAATTTTCAACAAAGAGGCCTTTTGTTGGAGTGGATTAATTCAAGATTATGACGATCATCATTACTATTATCTGCTGTAGAGTTTATGCCTCAACTGACTCAGTTTGAGTTTTATGCATGCCAGCAAACATTAGCAGAAGTTAACAAGTTCATATATTTGAAAACGTTTTTTTTTAAATTATGAGAAATAAAAACCTCAGGCTAATATGAAGACTAATCAGCTTATAACTTGCCGTACTATAATATTAGCTATTAGATGATAATAGCTTCTTCTAAGTAGTAGAAATGTTGGCATTTATTTACCACACAAATAGAAATTACAGAACTGGAATTTCCAAATAGAATGGCTAGGAATTCTTCTTGTTGTAATCCCTACATCTAGAGCAGAGGTCCCCAATGTTTTGGGCATCAGGGACCGGTTACATGGAGAGAGGTTTTTTCGTGGACCGGAGGGTGCGTGGTTTTGTGTGCTGCCTGCATCCCGTGGATAGGGCTTTGCTTGTTTGTGTGGCCCGGTTGCTGGCATGCCATGGCCCAATACTGGTCCACGGACCAGGGGATGGGGACCCCTGATCTAGAGGGTACAACATTTGAGTCACAAGAAAAAATCTTCCCACTATCTGACTGGTTTATCATCTGTGTGGCCCTACAGCCTTTGCAAAAGTTGAGGAATTGTCATTTTTAACAAAACACACAAAAAAATGAAAATAGAAGAAGAATTAAGCATGGATTCTAATTATATTAACTGTATCAGAAAAGGAAGGCTGTAAATGTAAGATACAAATAATGCATTCATTTAGTTATATATCCTTGATTTGATTAAATTTAAATATAAATCTAATTCAATGAAATTTAAATGGTAGTGCTTTTTTCTTTGTCCAGTTTTGCCTTTTGGAGTGTACTCTTTATCATGCAACTTAAAGAGACATTAAATTAGTTGTCTCGGTTTGTTTTCTAAATTGTTTTTAACTGATTGATTTTCACATTTGAATTTGAATTCCTTGTCAAGAAATTCAAGGCATGGAATTCCTATTCTCCATTTAGGTTTTGCAATTTAAATAATTCATCAGATCTGGAATTAATTAGAATACCTGTTCCAAATTTGAAAGAATGTACTAAGATTTTTTTTAGTGTCTTTTGTAACTTTTTGGGATGTCTTTGTGGCAAGTGTACATATTCCATTGCAATCAGTTACCTGACATTGCAAGTCTGTGCTGTAGGTACTTTCTCTGAAAAAATGTCCTGAACATAACCTCTGCTCCCAACCTTTCCACAATATTGTGTCCATTCATAATTATTATTTATTCAGGTGAACAATATCGTGTCACCTTTCAGATTCTTTGAATGTTCTACTGATACGTAAAGGGAATCTGAAGGAACAAGCAACCAACATTTCATAAACAAAGTAACAATAACAATAATAATAGGGTTGGAAGGGACCTTTGAGGTCTTCTAATCCTTTGAGGTCTTCTAGTCCAACCCTATACCATTTCAGACAAATGGTTGCCCAGTCTCTTCTTAAAAACTTCCAGTGTTGGAGCATTCACAACTTCTGAAGGCAAGCTGTTCCACTGATTAATTGTTCTCACTGTCATCTAATATGCTACAAGTCAGCATAATGACTTCCTTTCATTCAATTCAGAGTGATAGCAACAATCAGTTGTGTAAATACTTAATTAAACATTAACACTGTTTTGGATCAGTCCTGTCCTTGTATAAATCTCACAGAGGTTAGTTAGCTCCATCAGAGTGAGTTATATCATTCATCATTGAAGAAAAAAAAATGAAGATCTTCCTGTAGCTTTGAGGCACCACCAGTTCAGTAAAACATTTGAAATGGTGGAGTTTTCTGACAACACAAATCTCTCCAACTTGAAAAAATCATTTCAATTTTTTTAAAGGAATATTTCTAAGCAATTAAAAATAGGATTGTAGCTTTAATGAATAAGGGCTTTTAATTTCATCAGAAATGTTATTCTTGTAGGAAAGAAGAAATCTGTGTTTCATTCACTGATATTATGTTAGTCCAAGTCCATTAGTTTACTTGAGCTAGACTTGTATGGTTGGATATCTATTCATTCCTGGAACTTATTTTCATTAATCAAACTATTAAAAATGATTTCAAAAATACCTGTAGCTGTTAGAGCAGCATACCTTACAGTTTAACCACCTATACAATGTTCAAATATAAGTATCTTCAGATTTACTAAAAGGTCTATCACTGCTAAAAAAGAAAGTAGGTATATAATTTGTTTTCTTACTTCATGATCATCCTAAAATTTTGGTTACTATACAAATTAATTATTTAGACCATTGAACAAAAAATGTATTATTCTGCACAGATTTAAATTAGTTTGAGCTTGAAATGTATGTATTGCATGTGTATCCTGCTTATTTTGAAGCAGTTGGAAGTGGCTAATATAACAATTGTTATTTGACTCGAACTTCTATAAGTCTTAGTCTTGAAGACATCTTTCTCAGAGGAACAAATACACTTAGATGTATTTCCAAGCAAACACATTCAGGCCGAGGTTCACATTTATTTTCTCCATTCTCATTTTTTAAATGTTGAAAGACACTTTTTTTTCATTTTTTTATCAAATAACCCTCAGTTTTGTTGTTTTCTTATAGGAAGAATCCTAAATCGTTTCTCCAAAGATGTTGGCCATTTGGATGACTTATTGCCATTAACATTCTTGGACTTTGTACAGGTAATCTAAGAATGGATTTTTACAAAACTGGGCTTGAGGTATTCTAGGTCTTGATGACACTTGTGTTTGTGTGTGTGTGTATAATGAGTTTAGTGAAAGTACTTTTTTGAGAAGGGTGTAGTCCAAAACTGTAGAACAAGTGGTAGTGACTGGGAGAAGAAATGAGTAATAAGTGGCTGGTAGGAGTGGCTCTTAACAGTTTACCATTATGTCAAGGTTTCAGTATGTAGTAGTTTAATGCTTGGTAAGTTGTGCCTAGTTTGCCTTTGAGACATTTGGCAAGCTTTCTGCAGTGTTATGAAACATATCCACAGTAAAGGAACAATCAGCTCACATGAAAAGATAGCACTGATTAACCTAATTATGCATGTACTTCCTCAAAGAAGCCAATGTTTACTATAGCTGTTTGGGATTGAAATAGGTGTGGTTATTTACAAAGAAGAGATTAGTAATAATAGGGCTGAAAATAATAGCTTCAATGGAAACAAAAGAAAGAAATATTATAAATACAAAAAGGTTGTCTTAAGTATAAATCAGGGAAGTAGTAATGGATTAATTTGTGGCAAAATATTTGCGTTTCAGGAGAGTCTCAAATGTCTTTTCTGGAAACTATGTAGGAAGCCCAACACAGGAATTTACTTCCCCACCTATAATATGGTCTTGTTTGGGAGACCCCCGTAGTTCTTCAGCCCTCAGCTGGTGATAGCAGCCTAGTGCTTGAGCTCAAAAATCTAAGTAGGTTTGAATTTAATTACACTTGAATGGGAAATCAATCCTGAAAGCTGCAATTTTCATAACAACACAAACATGGACATATTCTTATCAGGAATTAAGTGAATTCAATAAAGAGTTTACTAGTGACATCTAGATATTACCATGTAGCCAGACTATGTGTTATCTATATGTTTATATTTATCTGAAGGGTGGGCCATATTGATAGTGAGCATAGTTGCAGAGCTGCATTGGTAAGATTAACACTTATTCCATTACCACATTTATTTCCAAAGTTAGTTGGTACTTATCTAATCTAGCAATAGATTCAGAAGACAGATTAAATTGTCTGTGCATTGAATAGTTATATATTCTTGGCCATACCAGCAATCTGTTGAAACTTGACTTCTGTTCTTTTCCTTGTTTTTAAAGAAAATTAGTCTTGTGTCTACAGTAATAGAAGAGAGGGGAAAGCCCAACATTTTCTGAGGGTTTTAGCTTTGATCTTTAAAGCTGCAGTCCAACAGATTTTAGAAAAGTATTCCTTTGTGGAAATCTGCCTTATAAGCTCTTTTTCTTTCTGAATGGTCATAACACAGTATGTTGAACTCTAAAACTCACATATTGAAACATACAAGAAAACCAGCCCTTTGTAGCAAACGATCAGATAGGATCTTGGCCATTTTATTTCATTTCCGATATGGGGCTTCTTCAGACATGAAAGCACAGGCCTTGATCTGTAGGCAAATTGAGCTCTTTAATCATATGAATGCTTGTTGGGCATAATTTACTTTATTTCATATTGGTATCTCCTCCAAAATTTACAGTCTAAGAAAATGATGCAACAATTCTAAAAAACATTATGCTTAGCAAAGGAGCATGGTACAAAGTACAAAGCCCTGAATTTTTATGTCACTCGTTCCTACTGTTAGCAGTTCTGCATTTTATACTCTAAGATACAATGCAAGGATTTGTTTTGTCTTCAGATGAATGGACTTTTCCCGATGTGTATACTTGATTTAATGATCCAGTGCATGCTTGAACAGTTAGAGTCAGACTAATTTTAATCCTATTAATTTTAGTCAGTTTACTACATCAGCCTAAGGACCAAGTGACTCTCCTAGTTTAAGAGATCAAAAATGAATTCTGTGTTCCTTTTTCTAGCACAAAATCCTTATTTTTTTATTTATCTGAAGTAAGATAACTAAAAATCCTCCAGATTTAATGCTAGTGAGGAATCCCTTTCAGGTAGCATTTAAAGAAATGTAGACTGATTAGTAACTGTTTTACATATCTAGCCCACCCACCTAAAGAGGGCTCTGACAAGGCTGAATTTCTTCACAGTTTTGTCCCTGATATTTTTGTCAGTGAAAAACATAATAATTCTTAAATCATCTCCTTTGTAACCATACTTCTGAAATGATTTCAGATGTATGAGAAAGTAAATGGGATGTTACCAGCTTTCAGTTTATATACTCCCTTCTTAAAAATTTCCCTCTCTTAATTGTGGGCCGCATTGATTTAGTTGAAATATTTTAGTTGAACTGTGAAGGGTTTCTGGGTTTATTTGTGTCGGGAGAAGCCCAAGTTTGTTCAATAGATCCCTGTTATTGAATATGATAAAGATCTTTTGTCATTTGTTTTGTTTGCAGGTGTCTTTTATAAGAGAACCTCTAATCTCTTCAGGAAGAAATATTTTCTCTTTCTTTAAAAAAAAAAAGGGGGGGGATTCAGTATTAACTGAGAATAAAAGCACTGAGCCTTTGCTATTGTTGTTGACAATTTGAGAGACATTTCCCAATAGTCATTGTTCAAATGGTTGTCAGGAGGAATCAAGTAAAACTCAATAAACAATGCTGTAACCAGTTCCTCACACTTTGTGTGCAGAAGCTTTTCTTGAGACGATTTGCATTGAAGAAGTAGTTCATTTTCCAAGTTGTGGTAGGGTCATTTAGACTCATTCCATGGTTGTTGTTTTTTTTTGCTTTTCCAGCTGTTGAATATTTTAGTTTTGCAGAAATAAATCTATCTATATGTAGACTAGAGGAATTTCCTATCACTCAATTGTGCAGTAAATGCTAGAATGTTGCTGTGACCTTTACCAGTATCTTTGAAAAGGTGCTAGTTTGTTTTCAATGGAATTTATTTACATGATAATGTATATTACTAAAAATGATTACCAAAGAGTAAGTTTCCTTGTAGTTGATGGTTCTACTTTTTAATTATTTTGTTATGCTTTACAAAATACTATTAAAATTGCCACATGCACAATACAATTCTATGAATCCTTAGACAGAGATAACTCCTACAATGTTTAATCTTGTTTAGGACTGCAAGCTTAAATATTTTAAAAGAACTGGAGCTGTAGAAATTTAAAAGTACAGTAATCCTTTGACTCTATACTGCCATTTCTAAAAATTATTCACTAATAAATTATGCCAAATGTGCTAATCAAAATCTTTTTTCCCCATTTCCTTTTTATATATATATCCATATTTTCCTCCCTCTTTTACTTCCTGTTTTAAACATTGTATGGGTATGTTTCTTTCTTTCTAAAAGTGTTAACATTATCTTGCAAGGCATTTTCAGATTCTCTTTAATGCAGCATACTGACTGGAGGGTTTTGTAGAATGTTTGGAAATATACATCTGTTAACTTTAATTTATGTTCTTGCCCCTTCTAAATGTTGCATTAAAAAAAAAATCTTAAGATTTTGTTTTGATTCTGGGGGAACATTGTGTGCTATCTGCAGCTGCCCTTGAATGAGAAAGAAAAGGCCAGTGATTTATTGAAGCTGGTGAATTGAAAAACCCCTTTTTCCCTCCCCAAAATCAACAGCTTGACTGAGTTTAAATAAGTGACTTTTCATATCCTTTCATTCCACACAAAGACCTAATCCTGAGACTACTTGAGCCACCAATGTAGACTGTGGACAAGACCACCACTGGAAATGTCATCCCTTCTCACCACACACAAAAACACATTGACTGCAGCTTTTATGAAGTGAAAATGCCAAAGAAAAGGAAAAATGCAAGTGAGGTGGCTGTAGTAATTTTTTCAAAATAAAATAAAAAAGGCTGCTGTGTTTGGATATTAAGAACAAAAAAGTGCCTAAAATGACAACAATGGCTCAGGTCACTTGCTTTCATAAGTGCAAATGAGTGAAACTGCTTATTTGTTTCAATACCGTTGACCCTTACATTTCATTGTGTGGAAATGTCAGGGAAAGTGTGTTCGAAGACATTTCAGCATCTTTTAGTTTTCAATGTGGTTGTCATTTTGAGATTCTCAAGGGCCTCTCCCATCTGTCTCCTTCCTTCAACACAATTCATTGGCAAAGTAGACTTCCATATTTTTTTTTATCTTCAGCAATAATTAACTGCCACGTCTCTGTTTTGTTTCTAATTTAAAAACTAAATCAGAATCCAGTATAACCTTAGTATTTTTTCCCCAAAGCAACAGGAACAGCCTTGTTTCAACTTATGATGGGTTGGTTACCTGTATCTATGTTTTATGGGCTACTCTGTTGATTATGTGAGATGGTCCAGTCGATGGAAGAAATACCTATTTAGGTTAATGTCCCCATAACAACTCAAAAGCATTTCAGGGCAGAGTCTGTCACTTGAAAGTAGAAGAGAGATTGGTGGCAGTGGTGTTCAAAGATCTAGCTTCTCAGCATTTGTATTTTTTAAAATTAGTTTATAATATAAAATACAAAAATACAAAAGCAAATAATAGGAAAAATAGGGGAGGAAAAAGGGAAGGGAAAAATGTAGAAAAGAAGGGAAAAAGAAAGAAAAGGCATTGACTTCTGACTCCTTTTGGTGCAGTAGCATAAGATAATAACATCAAATCTCAACTTTTTACTTTTATATAATGGTTAAGCTAGCCATTTCTATAACAACAAATTTATCTAATTGGTAAAACTCAAAATCAAAAGTTTCATTTTTTTTCAACCTCAAGCACAAAGTCCAGAAGCGGTTTCCAAGTAGAAACAAAAGTAGTTGTGTTTTTGCTAACTCCATCAACTTTTGCAGCCATTCATCCATTGTGGGAATCAAAATGTCTTTCCATTTTTGTGCATAAAGTAATCTTCCTGCCCTCTAGTTTCTTAGCATTTTAAAGGGGGAAATTTGGACAACTTGGATAAGAAAGAGGGAAAAGTTGGTGATAGAGAAGAACCCCTTTAGGCTTCTTTGCCTTGCCAGTCTGGCAAAGTATGACTGACTCAAAACATTTTGCTGCCTAAAAAAAAATATGCAGATGATACTCTTTGTTAAAGCTAAGCT